ATGAAGATTTGAATAATTTTCTAGAATTGTAATTGGATTCATAATAAGTAATTATGGATGATGATAATGAACTTCTTAATTTGTTCAAATTTATGTGTATTTACCCTTGTGATCGTATACATGTGGTACGACAATATATATGCTCCATAAAACGCATATCTTCATTATAATTCAAGTAAATTTAAAGTTGGTCGAAAATTGTTCATCCCAAAAAGTCAATTTTCTTGTAGCGGATTGAATTGTATGTCTGTTTTGATTAAGTTATTACTACTATAAAATTGATATACTAAGTTATTGTAGCTCAATTTAAGTAAAAAAAAGTTATTGTACCTCGATCATTTAGGTCTCATGTGTTGGTCAAGCATGCATCTCACATTCAAGCATCTCCTTCAGTATTATGCATTGCTTACCATATATAATAAATAACTTAATTTAATGTTATGACTTGAAAAATGATTTAATGCGGAAATAGGCGTGAGTAATTGGAGAAATCTATTTGTCCACCCAATTCCTTTATATTATATAAAGATGAGCGAATTATATCTTCTTATGCATGAGTTACATGTTCCTATGTGCGAGTTACATTTGGACTTGCCTCAACAAGTTACATTTTGCATACGTCTAAGTTAGATCTTCCATCAATGCGAGTTACACTTTTTCATAATACGTATTACATCACAAAATAAATCCCAACTATTGAAACAAAAATGATTTTTTTTTTGCAAAAACAAATGATTTTTTTTGGCAAAAAAGTTATTTTTCATTGAAACATTTTTATGGCCTTAATACTAAAAACAAAACATATTAACTATTTACATAAATATTGAACAATTAGACTCCTTGTTTTCATTCTTTACATTTGATAGTCTATGGATTTACATCTTCTTATGCGCGACTTACATATTTTTATGCGTGAGTTACATCTTCTTATACGCGAGTTACATTTAGACTTGCATTAACAAGTTACATTTTGCATACATCTAAGTTAGATTTTCCATCAACGCGAGTTACATTTTCTATAACATGAGTTACATCACATCATAAAGCCTTGCTATTCAAACAAAAAAAAACAGTTTTATGTAAAAATATATTATTTTTAGCACAAAAAATGATTTCTTAGGCAAAAAAAGTGATTTTTTAAAAAATAATTTTATGGCCTTGATATAAAAAACAGAACATATTCACTATTTAAGTAATTTCTTGCTATTGAAACAAAAAAAACATCAGTTTTTTCAAAATGATTTTTTGGCAAAATAAATGATTTTAAGAAGAAAAAAGACATTATTTATGGTCTTAATATTAAAAACAAAACATATTCACTATTTATGTAAAGTAATTGAGCAATTAGATTCCTTATTTTCATTGAAATCAATGTTTTATTTCTTATAATCCGTATTAGACAAGTTACATTTAGACTTGCCTGCAGTTACATTTTTTATCAGCGTGAGTTACATTTCTTTAAACACGAGTTACATGATTTATGCTACCAGGACAAAAAGAAAAAAAAACTATTGTACACGCGTGTATTGTTCACGCGTGTACTGTTCACACGTTTTTTTTAAAAAAAAATGGTGTAAAACTACGTCGTTTTGGTGGTGGAGCATGATGCTCACCGTGGGATGATCCCACGGTATACGAACTGGTTCAGGTTTAGTTCTTTGTAAAAGGTGTGACTAAGCTAATTTTTCAGCCTTAAACTAACAATTGTTCAGTGGAATTTGTTGAAGTTCTTCGAAATGGATTTTTTTACGAAAACTTATGAACATGTTCTCGATCAAGTGTAGATTATGTAAAATAAAATCATTTTAAAGTGCAATTTAGAAGTCAGTTAAATAAATTATTGAAAAACACTACATTTTTATACATATTTTGGCGCAATATTTTTCAATAACTTATTTAACTGACTTCACAATTGAATTTTACGCTGAATTCTTATGAACATAATCTACACTTGATGAAAACATTTTCATAAAATTTCATAAAAAATTCCACTCGAAAACAGATTAGCCTGGTATGATTATTTGATTAGTTTATTAATTGATTCCATGCATATATAGTTGATTGTTTGATTTCTTAATTATATTGTTGATTGTTTTCTATTGAGTGTTGGTATTATAACTTGTTGATTCTGTTAGACAAACATTTTCAACTATGCTAAAATTTATAATTTATCTAATTTCAAGGTGTAATATATAAAGGATAGAATATGAATAGTATAAATAAAAAAGAGGAGAAAATTAGAGAAGACAGCGTTAAGTAAAAAAGGTTCAATGGAAAAGTTTGTTTGTGTAAAGAAGTTAAATTTTGAATGTCCTCCTCAAAATGAGAACTCATAGAAGAACAATGATTTACCTATTGAACATCAAATGATTCAGAATGATTGCATCATTGAAGGGGGGAATTTAGGAATACGTTGATAATAATAGAATTCCTTAAATATGACTTAAACATTGGTAAAGTATACAAATAAGACCACCATTGTTTTGATCCTAAATAACGATCACTAATACTATACTATGATTGGTTTAGACAAAATAGGGTTTTACAATTTTTTATAAATGTCTTGAAATATTATTATTATTATTATTATTACATTATTATTATTGTTGTTGTTGTTGTTACTATTATTGTTGTTGTTGTTATCGTTATTAATGTTATTGTTGTTATTATTGTTGTTGTCGTTGTCGTCGTCGTCATCATCATCATCATCAGTACTATGCATGTCAATTTATATAGAAAAGAGTTTTACAATTTTTTGTAATAGTAGGTCCATTACAATTTTTTGTAATAGTAGGTCCATTTTTATTTTCCGTCCTAGGCCTTTAGATATACAGGACAAACCCTGATTATACTTCATACATCCCTTAAAACTTTGTCAATTTTATGCTTTGGTTACCTCACTAACTTTGTGACTTTCATTTTTAAAAAAGAATTTGTTCCAGTTAATTCTCTCTAATTTGCACAAACCCCTACACACATTTTACTTTATTAATACATGTGTCAGTCAAATTTGGCCAAGTTTTAAAGTACACAAGAATAATTTCTTCCGAATATTATACTCCATATTGTATAATAACTATAATAATATTGATATAACATTATAACGAGCTATTAATATTTTGATAACAAAAAGAGTCAGTCAACAAGGGGGTGGATCCAGCAGGTAGAAGACACTCCCCGGAGTACACAATTTTTCCTGTTTTTGGGGACTAAAGGCAATCAAAACTAACCTTTCCACAAAAATCTGATATCTGTTTTTCTTCATCTTAGCATAGTCTAGTCTAAAATAGTGGAACCCACAAGAAAATACTGCTCAAGTCCAGGCAGCAGCTTTCTTGATCTCAAGTCAGAAGTCTAAAGGTTATGTTGAGTCTTCATAATAGGTGGTTTGATGAGGCAGCAGCAGAGAATTTCCTCTGTTCAAATTCTTGTTCCAGAAAGAAGCACCATCTAAAATGCTTTTCAAAACATTTTCAGGAGACTTGATCTGCAAAATCTGAAAATGTTTTCTGCCTTTGCCACAAAGTTTGCAGTATAAATTCACACAGTGAGAGGAGTTGTTTTAGAAAGACAAAAAACAAAGGCTACTATACCTGTTGCTAGCCAGCAAAAATAAAACAAAATGTTTCCTACAGCCAATTCCATTTTCTTCTTCTGCTGCTTCTTCTTCTTCACCTCACTTCTTCCTTCACTAATTGGTAGTGTTCCTGCCTTCACCCTCCCCCATCACCAGCCACCCTCCAATCCTGAAGATGTGGTTAGAGAAGTTCATAGGTAAAAAGAAATTGAATTTTACTCCTCCATCCCCTATGCATTCTCCCACTAATTATTGGTATATGGTCTCTGTTTGCTATTTATTTTGCCTACTATTCTTACTTCTTGTCTTCAGAAGGTTTACCACTTTGATTCTCTTCTTACTAAAATATAAATCTTCCACTAATAAAAAAGAATTCTGACATTTTTATTTTATATTGCAACCAAATAAGTTCTATTATGGGGACTAACATCCTATTGTCCTCCTATTATGAGTAAAAAAATTAAGGGATGGATGGATCACTATATGTGTACATGTGTTGTTATTAAAGTAATTAATAAAATTTTAAAAAACTTTCCATTACATGTTTGGTTATAGAAGAATAGGTCTTATTTTGCAAATACAAGAATGTCAACGCCAGGGTATCTTACTACTCTTTTGTCCCGCTAAGATTGTCCATTTTTTCTTTTTTGGGAAATCCTATTAAGATTGTCTGATACCAAATTTGGTAAAATTTGTATGGCTCTAAATCAATTTTACTTTCTAACTTTATCAATTTGATATTAACCACATAAACTTAATTTTTTAATAATCGTGTTACTCCTTCATTCCAGTGTTAGTGCGGACAATTATTATAGAGATAGAAAATAATAAGTGCGGACAGAGTAACTACTATAATATTCCGGACATAAAATGATTAATACATGTTACATAGTACTACGTATTATTTTATGAATTGTACAATTGTAATATTCTAATTAGTTCATCTTCACCGTGTGGTACTATCGAATTTCTTCCCATAACAGAATGTTACCGAATACAAAATCTTTCAAAGATTTTTCATTTTGTTGTTCAAAAGTTTGGGAGGCATGTTAATGTTTATATTTGGTACTCTAACTAATGATATATTTTGGTACCCATTTATTCAATGAAGCCGATGAAAATCCTAACTCTATTGAAATGTTTCAATAAAAATATTAAAACTTTATGTACTTTCAATAAAAATATTATACTACCTTTATTACAATTTCAGACCTGTATTAGTTCGATAAATTCAAGAAAGGATCGAATTATTTAAAGACATACGTAGTAAAATTTTAGTTACTGATCGTATATATTATTACTCCTTTCGCATAAAATTCTTTCGACAGCCCTTTTGAAATATCCCAAAAAATTATTCTCACTTTCTTTTTTGAAACGTTTTATGTGCTAAAATTCACTTGGTTTTTTCTTGCATGGAAACGTACGGAGTATTTCAGTTAACCATTTGTTTGATTCAAAAGCCATATTTTATACACATTTTAACCTGTTTATTTATGAGTAATTTGACAGAAGAGTAAACGAATCAATAACGAGAAGCAGAGAGCTTCAGTCTTCTTCGCCGTCGGCGTGCCAGACCGGAAACCCGATCGACGACTGCTGGGGGTCTTGCGACCCGAACTGGGCGAACAACCGGCAGAGGCTGGCTGATTGCGGCATTGGGTTCGGGAAAAATGCGGTGGGCGGGAAAAGCGGGCTGATGTACATGGTAACCGACTCATCGGACGACTACGACCCCAAAAACCCGACACAGGGCACTCTCCGGCACGCCGTGCTTACAGAGGGGGCGGTGTGGATCACATTCCAGGGAGACATGGTCATCAATCTCAAGCACGAGCTCTTCGTCACCAGCGACACCACCATCGACGGCCGTGGGGCGAACGTGCAGATCACCGGCGTCGGCTGCATCACACTCCTGTCCGTCACCAACGTCATCATCCACAACCTCCTCATCTACAATTGCAAGCCGTCGCCGGAAAACGATGTATTGCAGGTGAACCAGCAGCTCACCGAGAAGGTGTCCGGGTCGGACGGCGACGGGATATCCGTTCAAAAATCGAGAAATGTGTGGATCGACCATTGCATCCTAGCGAATTGCGCCGACGGGCTGATCGACGTGACCCAGGGATCCACCGCCGTCACCGTCTCCAACAACCGCTTCACCCACCACGACAAGGTGATGCTTCTGGGACACGAAAACTTCGACAAGGACGACATCGGGATGCAGGTGACCGTAGCGTTCAATGTGTTCGGGGAAATGCTGGGGCAGAGGATGCCGAGGTGCAGGACAGGGTACTTCCACGTGGTCAACAACGACTACACGGGGTGGGCTATTTACGCCGTCGGCGGGAGCGGCAGCCCTACCATCAATTGCCAGGGCAACCGTTTCACGGCGCCGGCGAACCCTAATGCTCGGGAGATAACAAAGCGAATCGTACAACCAGGAAAGGAGGATTGGAAAAACTGGAATTGGAGGTCAACGGATGATGTACTCATCAATGGGGCATACTTTGTACGTTCCGGCGAGCAATCCGACAGTGGATACAAACAAGCGACCAGCTCAGTCAACGTCAAGTCCGGCAGCCAGGTGGACCAGTTGACAGGCAACGTCGGAGTCCTTGCTCTCACGTCAAATGGGTGGGTACTCTTCTATTCTAATAAAAACATGGGAAAACCGAAAACGCATTCTTAATCCCTAAAAAGTTGCCATGTTGAAATCTCAATTGTCCATATTCAAGTAAATGTGGTCCGATAAAATGTACAAAGTGGGCGATAAGTATATTTCATCCCTCAAAGGACCACATTTACAGGAATTTAGACAATTCAGAAGTGACATTTACAATCTTAGAAATACGGGTCTAACATTTCAATATGGTGACATTTACAATCTTACAATAGTTGGAGTGTTTGAGTAAAAGTGCAGAAGTGATTCTGGTGCTCTAATTTACTCGTAGAATCGGTTTGTTTAGAAGTTAGGGGTGACCAGCTTCTGAAAACTGATTCTGATTCTGTTTCTACTTTAGAAAAGAAGCAGAATAAGAATCAGTTCCAAACACCCCCTATTTCAGGGACTAAGAGTGCGATTTTCCCTAAAAACATTTTCAAAATCCAAAGGGGAGAAGAGACAAAAATAACCATAGGGGAAACATGACCAAACTTTCTTGGGTGAAATAGGTTTAAGAATTAAGTTTAGATAGTACCCACGTTAGTTAGAAGAAGTGGTGCTTGGATCCTCAAAAAACTTAATTCCTAAACCTATTTCACCCCAAAAAGAGTTTAGGTTCATATCTGCCCCTAGAAGAAAACATTAGGATCATTTTTGTCTATTATTTTGAAAAAGAACTTTCATGTTTTTATTCCCTAAATTACATGATAACACTCATTTAACCCAATGTGATGCACTGATGCACAATGAATGTCATTTGGTGCACTTGTAAACTTTTTCAGATAAATCAATATTAAATAATTACGGTGACATTTTGGTAAATAAAAACTTTATTGACGGACAGCATCACGTTGGGGTAAATGTGGTGTTGTCACGTTTTCACGTTAAGCATTGTTTCCACTTGATCCAAAATTTATATTAATATATGTTATATATGTCTATAGGCTTACCGGTGGGGGAAGTGGGGTGGTGAACAGCATCCCCGGCATCAACCAAATTGACCCCAACACCTTTGTATACGAAGGCGGCGCTCCAACAGATAACGGCGCTCCAACAGACAACAACTCTTCATCTAAAACTCCTATTATTATTATTGTTGTTCTTCTTGTTCTTTGTGGTGGTTGTACTTTGTATTTCATTGCACGTAAGAAAAAATAAAAGTAGTTGATAGAAAAGTTATTACTTTTGATAACCACTGATTATGATAATAGTAAGTAATTGTACTTATTAAATATAATTATTATTACATTCAAGTGAGTGTGATCTGACACCGCTTTTTGTTTATGACGAGCACTTTGTCACGGTGCGTCAAAGTAAATTCAATACTAACACTTATACGTAATATAGCGTAGTAGAGTTCGTATCCACAGGGAAAGAAATAATTCTCTTTTTATGATACTTAGTAAATAAAAAGGGGGGGTTTGGATTGAGTGATTTAATTTAATTAAGAACTAAGATGAATAACCTATATGTGTTTAATTCAAAGTTAAAAAGGATTTGGCATTGCTACTTTCCACTTGTTGATATATTTTAGTCGATCATTGTTATATCTATAACTTATTTCCTCTCGAATACTCAATCGGGGAGTATATCCACTTCATCGAGGGCAGTTATTAACAACGACCGTTCATTAATAACCCTTACTATTAATCAAATATAGAACAACGCCTTATACCGATTTAATAGTAGCATTTAATCTTTCTAACTCCTTGATGAAATCAATTGAGATTGATAACCTCAACACAAGCGGTTTCGGTTTAACCAACAAAATTAATCCCTCTTAAGTTTATTAACCACGACCGTGCATTAATAAACCGAAGCTACTTACTTGTGAAACCATCAACGATTAACCATCGGTTCGTTGATCGTTTCTAGTAATAATTAATATATGAAACAAAACTAGTTGATCCTTTAAGTAATGTTCAAAATATTAATATGAAATAAGAGTAGGGATTAATTAATATTCAAGGAAGAATATTATTAATGAAGATGAATCCTACTATAATTAATATCAAGATGTTAACTAATTGTCATCTTAGCAACACTCCTCAATATTCATATAGAGGAAGAAAATACCATTCTAACTAATGTCGAGATGTTAACTAATTGTCATCTTAGCAACACTCCCCAACATTAATATAGAGATGATATTAAGGAAAGAACTATTAATTAATATTCAAGGAAAGAAGTTAAGAAAATAACTCACAACTTTAATAATCAACAAGCTTCAAGAGCAACACCAAGAATGGAAGTTTAGCTCCTCATTTGGAGACTAAACATAGCTAGAAAAATATAAAGAAATGCTATTCTAAACTGAGCTAAAGAGTATGGAAGAAGGGATGATGAAATGTGAAGGAAAATGGGGCTATTTATATGTGTTTCCAACACCTAATGCCGGATACCCGGCCGGGTATTTTGACATACCCGACCGGGTATTTACCAAATCAAATATTTTCCCATGTTTTTGTGTCTTCTACACGTTCTTTGGTCCGAAATCACAGAATACCCGACCGGGTATATGGAATACCCGACCGGGTATTTGCTAATTTTGTAGCAATTTCCTTTGTCACTTCATACCCGGCCGGGTAAAGTCCATACCCGACCGGGTTTTGCACAAAACTCAGGTTTCCTCATCCTTTTTGCTTCCAAACCTATCCTAAACTTATAGCTCAACTAACTACAACTTACAACAAACAATAAAATGCTAAAAATACGATTACAATCAAATGCAAACTAGCAACTATAAACTTACACAAAACTAGTAAATAAACATTACAAACAATAATAAAAATGTATACTTAGGCTCTAACAACTAGTGCCCATCAGTTTATAAACTCAACTAGTTTTGTAATGCATGTTGCGTGTTCGTAGTAATGCCCAAAGCCATTGTAGGGATACCAATGAATTTATTGGTTTACTACTTGAACTTGATTAGTCTATTATTCATATAACACTATGATGCTAATATGATCGAATTACTTATTGTGTATAAGATGATTGAATTGTGATGATTCAAAATAAATCAATTGAATTATAAATGGTGGTCAAAATATTCGTTTATGTTAGTGATGGAGTATATTCCTGTATACGGTATCATAATCACCGGTATAAAGCATCACGGATTCATTCCGGAATGAGCGAAAGACCAAGTCCACAAATATGCCGACCCTAACCCCGACCGACCAGGCTCAGGAACAAGCGTCGGGCAACGAAATAACTAAGGATCAAGGAACTGCCCGACCCCGACCTCGACCCCCGGGGTCGGGAAAATACCAGGCTCAGGAATCGACCGAACTCGATAAGATATGAGCTCGACCTTGAGTCGCCCGAGCTCGGTATCGGGTCTGACCCCGGAAGTCATACACGTGGTCAACGGAAGGCAAGCATAAGACAGCCAACTACCTCGAAAGCGGGAACAAAAGGGCGAGTCCTCTCATCACGAGCCCGAGCTCCCAGATATCGACCTCAGTGATCCCCAAGGTCTGAGTGAAGCATCATGGACTTAGACAAAATCCGCAAGGACCAGCACCACAAGGAAGCACCGCCACGTCATCACCGGCCGCGGATAAAATATGCCAGAATGCACACACGTAACCACACGGGTATTCTGGTAGCAGTTTGTTAGAGATTATTCCAATCAGCCAGCTGTCCAAGACTATCTCTCTCATCACCTTTACACGCGGCTGCTCCCCATCGAATCAGTCTGGTAGTTTGTTAGAGTAGCTTTACACGTGTCCCCTTCCCATTTGGTCTATATCTTTTTACTTGGGCAGCAAGTATTGCCTTTTATCTTTTTAGTATAAATATCACCTTCCAACCTGTGGAAGGGATCGATTGATCGTCTTCTCTATACACTTACTGTTATTCTGCCGGATTGCATACCTGTACTTTCCGATCAGTTCACTCTCCCTCTTTAGTTGGATTCCGACCACCCCCGGTCCGATAATCCATCAGTTAGAATCCCACACTGGAAAAGTTTGAATTAACAGAGTGTTATATTAAGATATGGGCTACTCCTCCTATCAGGTTGACGTACCTTAGTTCATCTGGTAAATTCTACTCAAAGGTGGTCACGTTGTCTTACTCAGAATATTTGAGCGTAAAGATCCAAAAACGTTCCCGTCTCGCCGTTCTGTTACCGGATATTATGTTACTCTTGGATCATCTCATATTTCTTGGAAGACTAAGAAACAACCTACTGTTTCTAGATCTTCAGCTGAGGCCGAGTATCGCTTTATGGCAAGCGCTTCATGTGAACTTCTATGGTTAAAAAATATTTTGCATTCTCTTGGTATTTTTCATCCTCAACCCATGAAGTTATTTTGTGATAATATGGTTGCACTTAATATTGCTTCTAATTATGTATTTCATGAATGGACTAAGCATATTGAACTAGATTGTCACTTCATTCGTGATCTCATCACCGATGGTTCTCTTCTCACCTCTCATGTGTCGTCCTCAAATCAAATTGCTGATATTTTCACCAAAGCCCTTTGGATTGATCGATTCTCCTACTTATTAGCCAAATTGGATGTTTGGGATCCGCACGCTCCAACATGAGGAGGGGTCTTCGGCCATGACGGGATTAGTTATTTATTATATTTAGTGTACATTTATTTTGTAACGTGTATGTACACATTTTAGTGGCTCTTATCTCTGTTAGTTGATAAGATTGTAGAGAGAGTCTTTAGGCAATAATTTACTTTGCTTAGCTGTGTAGCTTATCAGAAGTCTGCATACTCACATGTACGTAGTATTTATCTCAGCCGATTTGGGCATAATGAACATTAAGCTTTCTGCTTCCGCTTAACATGACAAATCATATTTCTTATTTTGATATCAGAGCCAAACCGATCCATAATCATGGTGTGGGCCTCCTTATGAAAAATGACGACAAGATTAAAAAAAATGACAATGACGAATCGACGGAAAAATGACTGACAGCACGATCCAGACGATCGAAGTGTCTGGTCGTGAGGAGGGGTGTTAGAATCCTACACCGGAAAAGTTTGAATCAACATTGTGCTATATTAAGACATGGGTTACTCCTCCTATCAGGTTGACCTTTTAGGATGGAACCCCGTGTCTTAACAATTTTTTTCAATATTTTTTTTTATTTATGTATTAAAGTGAATAAGGATACATTTACTCTTAAATATGAACTCTAGGGATAAGTTTGCATCTTTCAAAACTTTAGAGGCAATATGCACCTGAAACTAAACATGAAGATGTACTTGCTCCTTTTCCTATACAAGAAAAAATAAATACTCCGTATGATTTAAAAAACAATAAAATTATCAGTAAATATATTTATTTATCACCACTATCAGGAATAATTTAAGAAAACTATCACCATTAAATAATCATTGATGAATTCATGTTATGTACCTCATGTCATCATGAACACATTCAAGAAAAGTAAAAAACCCCATAAAATATCAATGAAAATAAAAAGTGCAAATTGTTCTGTACTATAAATGTTGCTCTAACGCTATAGAATATGGACCTGTATCTATTGTAAAATAGCGGGTCTTTGTCATGTTCGATTCTAAACCTGACCTATTGATAGGTGTTAGTGGTATTGTCTTATTGTGGTATATAGAATTAAAAGAAAAGCATATTAATTAAATAAAGGTTAGTCACATTGAAAAATAAATAAAAATAAATCATATTATTGTCATCCCAAAGTGTTGAAGTAATATTTTTGTCATTTTTTCAGATTAATAATGACCAAAGATGATATTAAAACTATTGAATTTATTTATGCGAAGAACAATGTACAACCTACCATGTACCTTCAAAAATAATGCATAACCAACTATATATTTCTTAAGTAGAATTGAAATATTTCTTAGAAAAGTACTTTTACCTATGAATGGTTAATATTTATATACAATAGAACTGAACATTAAAGCTAGCATATTAAATTACTGTATAAATTTTATAGACTTTAAGAGTAACTTTAATGTAATCATAGTAAACCTAGCTATAAGAAAAAGTCAAAGCATATGCCCATAAGAAGAAAATGACACTCCACTGAATTAACATAATTGAAAAATAGAACTTGTCTAAATATATGATACTTAAACATACACAAAAAGATTATGTAGTTGCCCCAAGAGAAGGAAATGCAACATCAGCCATCTCCTTCTCATTAGCTTCCATTTCATCCTTAAACCTCTTGTAAATATCAGTCTTGTAATAATCTCTAGTTCTGAACACCAAAATCAAAGAGACCAAAGCTCCAAAAAAGTTAACCCCTGCCAAAATAATGAAAGAGACCCTATAACATGATTTACCCATGCAAGTCAGCTCCTTGACCATTCCCTTCTCTATCCCCTTCATTTGAAGCTGCTTCACTGCCTCCATATCATACAACTTCCCCACTATCTTGACATTGAGTATGTATGACCCAATCGGACTCGCCAGCTGGCCACAGTTGAACAGCGTGGAGTAATATTTGAGACCAAATAGCTCAGAGATTATGATGAAGAGAAGGGTGAGTTGGACGCCGTAAGAGAATCCGATGAGCAACGATGCAACGTAGATGGATCCCGGGAACGGGAAGGCGATGAAAAGGTCTCCCACAACAGGTACAAGGAGGGACAATGTCATCATAAGCGGTCGAGGTACTCTCCACTTCTTTATGATTCCTTCGGACACAAATCCCGAGAAGACTCGACCAAAGAAGTTCCAAATGCTAATCAAGGAGACAAAGGTGCTTATGGTTTGGGACGGGTATCCCAAAGACTCACCAATTTGGCCTAGATTATCCACTGCAGTCAAGCTACAGCCTTGACCACAGAAGTTGCATATGAAGAGAATTAGCATGTCTATGCTCAATAGAGCCTGAAGTATTGTGTAATCATCACCTCTTTTCGGTTTCTTGCATATATCTTTAAAGCATCCTGTCCCTCTAGTACTCTTCCCTCCTTCCGCTCCTTCCTGCATTTGCTCTGACACCTCAACGATCTCGGACATTCGGGGCTCGGGCGATGGTTGTTCCTCAATATCATCAAGTGCTACCCGAGACGTGGAGCGACTGTCGCTCAAAACCTTCTTCTTCTTCCTCTCCTTCTTCATAGCCCGACGGGTGGAATACTCTTCCCTAATAGATATAAAGAACGGGAGAAAGAGCAAGACACAAACCACCGTGGCACACGCCACGTAAGCGGTGTGTGAGAATTTCACATACTTCTGGGTAATCGTCAATCCCATCAAACACAATGCCATTGTGATGGAAATCCAAAGATACTCAAACAAAACCCATGTCTCCTGAGGGTGTCTCGATATCTTCATCGGCCTAATGCTCGGGATAAAGATGATGGACAAAACCGCGGGCAACCAAGCAATCAAAAGGATCATAGACTTCGAATCGTTCCCGTATATGGCGAGGTAAAGTTGGGTGAAAACAGCACCGCTCAACCCAACAAAACCCTTCATCAGGCCCAACATCATCCCACGGCTTTCCGGGAAGTTCTTGACACAGGTGACCAGAGAACCGGTGTTGGCGAAATTCTGGGAATTCGCCCCAATGCAAATGTACAAACACATCTGCCAAACTCTGGGTTTGGGGATTCTTTTAGTGACAGATAGCCATATGAGGAAGTAGCCGGCGAAATTCATGGCTGAACCGATGAGCAGAACGAACCATGTAGGGGTTACCTCTGCAATGAGGCCGGAGACAATTCCGACATTGGCTCCGACGTCTTTGAAGGATCCGAGGAGGTTGAGGGTGGACTGGTCATAACCCAAAGTGGATTTGATGTCTTTTGAGTAGACGCCAAAGAGATAGGTGGCACCGGCTCCAGCCATGATCAAGAAAGAAGCAAACATCATGAACCATCTTCCCCGAAGGACTTGAATTACAAAGTTCTCCATATATTGCTGAGTAGTGAATTGAAGCAGAGGAAGTATATATGAATGAATATGGAAGTAGAACGATGAATGATAATATAGATTTGGGTGTTAGATAGGATAAGAATCAAGACCTATAAATGTGCAGTTAAAGAGGAAAAGTTCTACCCGAAACAAACTGACTCATTTTTCACTTGACTCATCACTCGCTTCAGATGGGAAAGCATACGAAAAAGATAAAATTGTTATGAATCTTTATCTCACTTTTCAGGATACTCGTAGGAGTCGTAGGAGTATAGGATATTCCTGAAAGTGGTAATTCTTTGGGTATATATGGGTTTTATGATGAGAAAATTGTTTTGGTTCATAAAATTGTTAGACACAATTACTATCTCCATGTCTCTAATATTGGGATGAAATTCGGAACAGGGTGACGTGGTTTTTAAGAAAAGTAAAATTATGTAGTTGATAAAGTGAGAATAAAGTAAGAATGAATTAGAGACACACAAATGTTACCAAGTATGTTATGAAATAATAATAGAGACATCCAAAAATGGAAAAATGAGACAATTATAGAGAGCAGAGAGAGTATTAATAAAGTGATTGGAAATGTAAAAGTTGTTGTTGAGATTTAATTTTAATAAAAAGTGAAATGATGTAGATCACATATTTGTTTTCAGAAAAATATCGAGTAAGACACTTATTTTGAGATAACTCCAAAAGGAGAGTAAAACAGATAAATTGAGATGAGGGATTGAGGAAGTAGTATTTTTTTTTTGAAAAATATGATTATGTAATATTTCTAACCCTAATTTAATTAATTAATACAATTAATTCCTCTCTGACTCTCTTGCATAACCAAGGTCAGTCCGGTGGTGACAAATTAGTCCGGTGATGGCGGTGGGGGTGTTGTTCAAGTCAGTTCATCCTAAATTCTTGAATCCGCCCATGATGTCCCCAACCAAATGCTACATTTGTAATTCCAAAAAACTCACTTTCCTTTATAGTAATGTCTTATTATTGCGAAACAGCAAGCACAACAGAAATAGCCGTGCGCCATCGTCATTATTTGTAAAACTTTTTCATTAAATATTTTATTTTACACTAACATAATCTTTTTTGTAAACAATTTTTTTGCGAAGTTGTTGTTTATTAATTGACAAGTTATAGAATGAGATTTTAATCTCTTGCGATACGAAAAATTATTCCACAAACGGACGCTATTTTCTCTCTTCTCTCTCTAGGTTACCTTCGGGCAGTGGCGGAACTAGGGGGAGCGAGCCGGTGCTGCCGCCCCCCGTTCGCCGGAGGTTTTAGTGTATATATATGTATATATACATGATCAACCCCGTCTCAATAATAATATGTACTAACTGACCCGTGTTTAACTCAATAATTGGAGTAGCATAGATGGTTGAACAGTTATAAAGTTGTGGGGAGACCTGGGTTCGAATCCTTGTTCAGTCTCCTTTTTAAATTACTTACTCCATTACACTTCTTCCTCTACTTATCTCTTAACCTTTTGGAATGTTATTAGTTTTAATATTTTTCCTACCACATTTCTTTTACTTTTATGTTGCATTTTTATTTTTCAAATTCAAAATATTTACTTCGTATTTTGTACTTTTTCGAATATTAACATGTTATTTACATTTTTGTTTAGTACAAGAACAACAAAAAATGACTTTTAGCTATTGCTTCCCCCCTTCAAACATTGACCTATATCATTTTATAAAAAGTTTATCAATAAACTTTTCAAACTACTTGAATTTTATATTTATTCCTTGGATTAGTACAAATATGCCAAAATTTCTTTTTGATATTTAAACTATCTGACTTTATATGAGTATAATTAGATTCATGTAATACTTTTGCAAAAAAATAAAATATCCTTTTAAAAAATAAATAACCTACTTGTAACGCTATTTGAAAAGAGAAAAAAATTTAATAATATTTTTCAAAAATTTAAACTATACTACATTAATAAATAAAATGTAGTCAAAGTAAATTATGTGAAGTGTCAAATTCACCAATGTTCAAGTATATGGATCGGGTATTATTCATATTTAAAGATATTTCCATAAAAATTATCTGATTTTGAGTGAGAATTGCATAGGACTATATGATCAAATCTGTACACAAAAATCAATAATGCATCTTTACACAAAGATGCAGTATCTTTACAAAGATATTTATTTCCATACTACAGATTGCAGAATGATAAAATAAATACCCCCATTCCATTTTATATATCTTATTTTGGTTTATCACAATTATTAATAGTGATTGAAAAAGAAAAAATTATGATCAAAACTAAATACTCCATATAACAGAATAAATAGAGTAATATGTTGTAGATAGGGATGGACTCGGGTCCGGGCCGGGTCCGGATCGGGCCTAGACCCGGGTGGGCCGGCGGTTCAGAAGTTGTGGACCCGGGACCGGCCCATGTAACCACCGGGTCTGGGCTGGGCCCATTATCAATTTTTTTTCCCTCTTCCTAATTAACCCCGTCCCACCCCCAACCCCTCACACCACCCCAAATGACCCAAAATACCCAGCCCAACCCGAAAATTTAAAAAAAATGAAATAAAAAAAGTTTTGGCCCGAACCGGGCCCGGCCTTGTTTTGGGTGACCCGAGCCCGGACTGGAAAACCCAAGGGTCGGGCCTACCCGGACCGGTCACTGAGCAGGCCACTGGGTCAGTTCGGGCCCAAACAGTACCGGTCCCGGGCCAGTTCCGGGTCGGGCCACCCGGCCCGAGTCCATCAATAGTTGTAGACCACAAACTTTCCAAAAAAGGAAATAAGACACTTCCTTTTTAAAACAATCCAAATTGAAAATAAAATCAGGTTAAACGGAACATATCGAGTATTGAAGATCCTGAATCAAAATTTGACACTTCAAATCCTGGATCTGATAATACGAAATTATTAATGATTTTATGCAAGACGTATCAGTCCCCTTTGATGGAATATATTTTAATTATTCTTTAGTCGTATGTAAATTTTTTAGGGGGAATTGTAGGGAAGCGCACACAAAATGCCTAAATTCCAAAAGGACTCCAAACTGTCAATCAAAGATAAGGATAGCACCAGACACTAAAAATCGAGTCCTGCAACAACTAAGCTCACAAACCTACTTGACAAGGCATTAGCATTTTCACATACCACCACCAAGTATCATTCGATAAAGTCAAAAGAGGGGGGAAAAACTCAGAAAAACAAGCAAGTAAAGCCTTCAGTAGCGATCAAAGGAGGGAGACTGCCCAGCCCTACGAGGGCGGTCATAAGGTCCTGCCCTGCTGTCTCTGTAACTTCTCCCCCCCTCATATCGGGTTGGACCACCAGCCCCTGCTGCTGCATATCTGTCACCACTCACTCTTGTGCCACCCCCATCACGGCCATATGCTACTCCTCTCTCTTTTCCATACCCATTCGGTGTGAAACGGTCTGCGCCTCCATATCTACTGCCAGCAAACCTATCTCCACTTCCAGCATACCTGGTCATATAGAAGCAGTCACTTCAAAACTTCTATGTTGCCTTGAAAAATGATGATCTTTTTAGCTTTGGATTGGTAGCATAGAAAGTTGGAAGACAAATATATCGAGGGGAGGGAGCAAACAAACCATCTCCCTTGTTTGGTGTGCCACAAAGACCAAGGAAAGCAAAGGAAATTGCCTATGTATTTCTTTATATCGTTTGTTCCGATGAATCACTTTTAACTGAAAGTCACTTTTTTCTTTTTAAAACAATACACAATTATTTCCTTTTTACGAGTATCTCTTTTGTATCTCCTACCCAATACCATAAATAGGGTGCACTCACTTTCTCACCTCTGTTTCATTCTACTCACCCTCTTGTTAGCATAGTAAAACAATAAAGCATACCTCAGCAAAAAAAACCTAATTTACAGAAGGCCTACCTGTCACTGACATACCGATCACGGCTTCCATATCGGTCATCTCTGCTATCAAGACGATCCACCCTTTCAGCATAGTGACCTCTATCATAGCGATCATCCAAGTACCTATCACGGTTGTCACTGCCAAAGCGGTCCCCACGAGCACTAAACCTGGAGCGTGAAGGGGGTGTCATAGGACGGCCACCTCGACCACCACCACCACCACCATCTAACGGGCAGTCTCTTGCCCAGTGACCTGGACGCCCACACCTGAAACAGTTGTCCTGTCCTGATGACCTATCCGGTCCACCATAGCTGCTCCCCCTACCACCAGACACGTAACCTCCACCGCCATAGCTGTCCCTACCACCGCCAGATGAGTAACCCTCGCCATAGCCAGCATGGTCCATACCATCTCCCCCCATCCTGGGTTGGGCCTTGTTGACTGAGATCATACGCCCACCCAACTCACTACCATTCATATCTCTTATTGCATTATCCATTGCCCGGCGGTCTCCAAATGTTAAAAACCCAAATCCACGAGGACGGTGTGTGTCCCTTTCCAGCATAACCTATGCAAATCTATTTCATTAGTCAATGATACCAAAGGCCAGCAAAAGGCAAGTAGTTATGTTGTTACAACAAGCAAAAGTTTTTAACAATGAAAACATTAGAATGCAAGGCTACCAGGTCATCCGCAACCTGGGAATGGAACCCAAATGCAAATAAACAAACTTAACCACTCGTAAGAAAGTCAAGTTAATGAGTCACCCCTGTTTCTTAAAGTGCAGCAATACATACATTAAAGTGCAAGGAAGTCTACTTAAGAGTTTATTGGCGAAAGAAAGTAAAAATACAATTATCATGGATCAAGACAAAGAAAGTACACACTTTACATTTTTTAAAGTTTTGGCCAATCTGATAAATTTTGTGAAGTCCAACTACTCATCCATAATAAATTTATGGTGATGTGAACTTTTCTCCTATCATTACATGCTAGTGGACTTTAAACTTTCAACGTTCAAAAATTAGGTAAATGCACTCACTCAAAGAACCCTCATGCTAAAGCCACTTCATCTTCTGGAGACATCAAGCTATTTCAAAGTTTATGAACATGTTGACAAAGAACCATGAAGCACTAATGTGTTTTGATATTTTTAAAAGAAACATGCAAGAGGGAAAGACGTGAAGTGCTAATGTTCTGGTTGTTCAAAAATAAGAAAGAAAATAAAACAGTAAATCTTAATCTGGCTAGAAAAGAAAGAACATGCATGAAGGCCCATTGTATTTTCTTTCTCTCCTGCTCTTAAAATGTAAACAAATGCATTTTTTCACAAGTGCAAAAAAAGCATAATCAAAGATGAATTGCATACAGTAGAAAATCAAAATACACTATCTAAGAGCATGCATTGTTATGTACTTCTGAAGACACTTGTTGTCTCAAAAGTCAAAACACAAGGCAACTTTGCTTCTAAAATGGTTTCAAATTAAAAGAAGCAAGATACTTAACAAAATGTCTTCAAATGGGACCAATTATGTGCAAATCATTTCAGAAGGTAAAAGAAATTAAGAAAGTGTGAATTTGGCAGAGTTAAAATGTAGTTGGTCAAATTAGGTAAGTGGGCAATATTTTTGGGACAAAGTGATTAACTTCTTTAAAGGAAACATCAATGTTGAAATGGAAAAGAATGGAAGAAACGCAATGCATCACCTTGACAAAGATATTGCAATATGAAGATTGCTTTATATGTGAATGACCAACGCATTTTACATTGGAAATGAAAATTTCAATATTTTATTTGTATTGGAACAGTCTGAGAATGAAATACTTAACTATCGAAAAATACATAATGAGCACAGATGGAGTTTAAGTATCTTTCTTCCAAAGTAAAAATTGATAGGACATCGATGAATTAAAATGAAGACATAGTGAGATGAGCATTACTTGTGGATGACAGTGCACCCAATATGGCAATGGAACTCTTACTTGTACTGATGAATATGTAGTATTACAGCCTGTAATACTACAGGTACCCATTATTTGAGGGGCTAAGGCAATTAAGTTGCCTCAACTCTTGTTCTGTGCGATCAGAGAATCAACAATAAAAATGAAGACTCTCTGTTCCCTTTCAGTGAGCTAGTCTACCTCACTTTATAAGACACAGCCTCAGTAATCTCTTCAACTTCATAAGAACTTCTTATCAAACCAAACAGGCAAGAACTAATAGTCGAATCAGTTATCGAACATGCTAACTTGAGGAATCAATTGGGAGAATATCACAGACACTTCCCATTGAAGCTTCTGTCAATTGTTTTCAGATTTCATTCAATCAACTACCCAGTGACTTACCCCTATCTGGCTAATTAACACCCACCCGTGTACCAACTACTCCTTTGCAGGCATAAATTAGCAACTTAAAATCATCAAAAGGTCAATGTGAACAAGTACAAATGAGAATCAGAACCATCTGGAAACAGTTAAGCGCTGATGCTGATTACTGGAGCAAGCAGAAAAGAGTTGAACAGCCAAACTGCCCACACAGGAACAATCAGATTGGATGTCGGATGATGCCAAACAAAGCAACCTTAAGATAAAGCTTGTTCCGGAAACAGATACAAAGTTGACCTAAATCCTAATCTCAATCTCTTAGGTGCATGATGGCATCAGCTGATCTTTAAGGTTACCCATTATATGCTTAGTGACACAGAAAGCACCGCAATAGTAGAACATTGATCTGGCATGCAAATGGAAAGAAGTGAACTATCTAAAGAAGGCAAAGGAAACGCGTGAGAGAACAATCTTTTACAACTTAATCATGAATAGCAACTGTTAGTATCAAACTGCTCAAGATGGACGAAAAATTAGCAGAATTGACTCAATCATATTCTTCATCATCCTCAATGAAGAAGGGATAGTGCACGCGCCCATTGCTACACACCTCGGAGACAGGACGTCGAACATACACAACTCAAAGACAGCTGCAAAAGACCAATGACACCTATGGGTTACAAAACATGAGATCATACCACATACTGCTCCTCTAATAAATTGAACACCTGTGTGTGAGACCTATAAGTTCTCTTGCAAGTTGCAGCACAATATGAGAATAGATAGCCTCAAAGCACCTCACACCTCATCATCTAGCATCTGGAGACCTGTCAACCATACTAGCATGAGCTGCTTTGGGCTTAACAGTGAATATACTCCTCGTGTATTAATGACAGGTGATGCCTTGAGTTGATTGAAGCTCGACTATAAAACGCATGCACACGCACACACAAAACAGTGGTTGATTGAAGCTTCTGTGTGCTTTACACTTGTATCCATCAGTTCCGTCTTAACAATCTGCCTATCACCTTAAGGAAATATAAGTTAAACTATAATCGCATAAAAGTCAAGGAACAGACTCCATGATTGTCCGCACAACATGTTTAAATCCTAACATAAATTCCGATTCAGGGTGTGGAAATGCAGTGGTTGTTTGCCACTAATCCATCAATATGAAGCAGACAACACGGCACACCAGGAAATCTGGACGGCTATCTTTTCCTTATATGAAAAGCTTATTGATTAAAACTGAACAATGACAACATCTCTATGTGCTCAGCCTAGATGCCCAAAAACAATATCTTCAATTGCTGGTGAAACAGGACATCTCGTTCATCAATTCATCAATGAACAATCACAATAAAGGTTAATATCATATGGCATATACTGAGAACTTCTTGAGTTGCACCCCCATCACAATGTTATTAATCAAGAAGTGTCAATAACTGATTGGGCATAAAAAGGTCTACGTGAAGCCTCACCATGTACTGTTAGCAATTGAACCAACTCAAGGCAACTAGTCAGGATAAAGCTGAATGCAATCACCTAGCGACAATACAACACTTGCCCAAAACCCAACTGGCCCAAATCAACCCACAAAATTGATGCAAGCAGTGTTTCAGGTAAGCATGCAATTGATTTAGAAAATGCCTTCCCATCAACTGCTCTATTAAATCAAACAACAAAAACAAACTGCTGAACAGAATATAGCGACACAAACAACACTGCACTGCATTAACGGTGAACATTCCATCGGATCACTTCCTCACAATGTTCCATCTATGATATTCCGATTGCCCAAGCATAATCGGATGCCAAACAAAAGGAAAATGAAAGTGAATTAATAATATCATGGCAAAATGGGAAGAAAAGACTGCATGTCTAAAATATTTACTGATTTCCGCGGTTAAGAACTGATGGATGTAAATTTAAAACACTTGTGAATTCAAGCTCCAAGTTCAGAGCATGACCAAGGGAACAATTCTGAAGTATCTAAATTAAATTCAGAAGGTTTCGGTTTAGATTGTTGGGCTATTTCCTAAATCCATAAAACAACAATATTGTGAGAAATGGAATTTCATTTATATGAAGAAACACAAAGTAGCACTTTCCAAACAATATTCTTAAGTTGTTGTCAACATAAAATATTACTATTAAAGCTACTATTGAAAAATAAAATTAGTAAAATATCAGAACCCAAAACAACCCAACTTAAAGATTATTACAAAACCAAAACCTCTAAAATATGGTATCATGATTTCTTTTAGTAATATTCAGTACTAATAGTGCACAGACTAACGAACTCTTTTATTTCTTAAATCAAACTAGACATGAACTCTCACTCAGCGCTTCACCAATCAAATCATCAGCTACAGTTTTAAAATATGAAGCTACCTGACTGTCGATGACTTTGCCGAAACGGCTAAAAGCATCTTCAAGCTGACGCTCAGTGATGTCCCACGACAAACCTCCCACAAAGATGCGATACTCCTGGTCCTTCCCCGACATCCTCGACAACTTATTATAACTTCCAAACGGCCTCGCAAAAAGGGTGAGGAAACCTGAGATTGAACAGATGAACCCTACAAAGTTACAACAGAGGAGCAACAAACTATAAATTAACGAATTCACATAGTCAAGCAACACGAGTACAGACCGGAGCCTGCGCCTTAGAGAGAAAGCTAGCGTCTTTCTTCACTAACGAGGCTGGGATCTCAGATATTATTATGCTAAAATTTCAGAGTTACAAAACCCTAGATACACGACAGGGGACTTCGTTAGAGCGAGAATTTCAGTAAGGTCTGTAATTTCAAACTCATTTAGAAGTCCACCCCTACAAATACCTGATATTCCTGGACTCCGAGTGATAAATATTTTAAGGGAGTTGCTTTATGCACCTCCAAAATTGCTTAATCTAACCCTCATAAGACACATTTGTCCTTTTTAATTCTTTATACTACGTACTTCGTACTAACTATTAAAGCAACTGCTCTCCACGTGTTACTCTAAAAATATTTTGAGAATACACAATTTTAAAAACAGTCGCTCTCAAAATAAGGACTCCCAAAGACACCCCCAACAATTTTTTAAACGGGTAATGTTTTAAAAAATCTAACCCCTTTCAAAAAAGTTATTAAATAAAATTTAAATTATGTGTCATTATTAAATAAGTTACCGTGTATTATTTACTCCTATTTGGAAAATTCTAGCTTTTGATGATCCGTAGATCAAGATTAAATAATTAAATATATAAATCTCTTTTGAAATTTAAAAATAAAAATTATATCTAAAAAATGCATTAGTGAGTTTTACATTTGGATCACAATTACCTTAAATGTATTACTATTGTCGAATTGATATTATGTCATTGCCTGATTTTTAAGTCACTATCAATGACTATCAGTGTCATTGTTATCGCCATTAGTGTCACCATTGCCGCCGGTGTCATGTCACCGTGAAACATGTTAATGTGAGCGGCGAAAAAATTATATTTAAAATATTTGTTATTAATAAATAAAATAGAAATTATATGAAAGAATAGCTAAAATAATACTTTACAATAATTTCAGCCAATACAGCCACAAAAGTAACTACATTATTACATTTTCTTATTATTACACAATTCAACACTCGAAATCAAAACTTAGGTGTTTGATTAAAACTGACTGATAAACCTGATAAGCCGAAAAAAATGTCATCAAACGGGTTCTTAGTGTATTATTGTTTTTTGTAAGTCATACACAAGCCATAAAATATTTAAAAAAATGATCAAAATACATTATTTGGCAACATGCTTAAAACTAAGTATTCAAATTTGTTTAAATCTAGAGTATATAAAAGCAAGACAAAATTAACTATATTGGTAAGATGAGATAATCAAAACAGGAAAAAAAACATACAGAATACCAATTTGACAGGAAAAGAATCATGAATTAGAGTCGATCAACTCAAAAGACAAATAAGCTTGGCATCGTTGGGTGAAAAAAAAGTGCTAGAACATGAACTATGAACTTGGTGTCTATGCCTAGAAGTGAGGCAATAAAAAATGAAAACAAAGGTTAAAATTGTCCGCCGGTGGAGAAAAGTGGGTGCGCTAAGTATTAAACCGGATGCGCGCAGCACGGCCTATATTTTAATATTGCCTTATTGAAGTAATGAAATATACCGAGTACACGTTAGGCATGGCAATGGGTCGGGGTGGGCGGGTACCGCAAGACTCAGACCCGCCCCGTGACTTGACGGGGCGAGTTCACCCCGCCCCGTGATCTGCACGGGTCCAAATTTGTTGACCTATGACCCGCCCAATGCGGGGCGGGGCGGGCGGGTTCGCCCCGTCGTAACCTAATTAGCTAGTATGTAGTTTTATTTGTGAGAAGTTGTTACCAATTGAATCTACGTAAAGTTTATCTTTAAATAATTATTTTTTTGAACAACAAAACATGTCTCTATTCATATCACAAGTTTCAGGATCATTACATCAATCAAAGGAAAAACAAATCTGATATCAACTAAACTCCAACAACTACGACTGTAAACCCTATGATCAGACTTAGAGACGGTCACCCTTGAGAAAGCAACACGAATCGCTAACCATGTAGTGGGCTTGACACAGCCAACCATGTTCTCGTAGATCCAAACATACCCAGTGACATAAAGAGAGGCTAATATCTCAAACAAACTCACAAAACCAACAACATAACCGGTAACAAGAATCCAAATGACAAAATAATAAAAACTAAAAGGAACACTTTCACGGATCCTAACCCCTCGTTCAACCCATGGCGGTGGTTCCGGGGGAGGCCGTACCCTTTGTACCACTCTACTTGATCTTCCAATGTCGATCGAAATCTGGCCCTCTCGAAGCCCGTACAGCTCCCATCCTCCCGCACTCCTAGCGAAATCACCGCTAGCGGTCATCTTCTTCGCTGCCAACCCCGGTGGGAAGCGATAACCTGCAAAAGGAGAGAAAGAGCAACACAAAACATCAACCTTCGAGGCTGAAGGAGAAGAATCGCCGCACCAACCTACGCCAAAGCTAGGCGGCGGAAAAACAACACTAGGAGAACCCTAGACCAGACCGCAGGTTTCGTTTATATCATCAGATTTAAGGAAGACGGATTGAGATCGATTGAAAGTTGTTGGCCGAAGAAGAATTCAGGCTTGCTTCTCGCCTGTTGTGTTCGGCGGCACGGCACCTAGGGTTTACCGCTGCCTATGAGTTCTCATGGTATTGTTAGATAGCTTCTTTTCCTATTTTTATCTTTAAATAATTATTAAAAATTAATATATTAAATCAAATTCACGATACGCTAGAAAATTCAAAAGTTAAGGAAAAATCACTTAGATTTGAATAGTTAATATATCTAATATATGTGTGTGTGTGTGTATATATATATATATATGTTGGGATATTGGCCTAGAGGCCCAATACCCAGTTCGGGAAGACCCAAGATGTCCGGCCCAAGTAACAGGCCCATCACTCTATGATGAAAAGATCCAGTAAAGAGACATACCGAACGGGGTTCGGCCCAAATAAAGGTTGGCCCAATAAGAAGACATACCGAACGAGGTTCGGGCTATATATCATACTTGGGCCAATTTGACAGCAACTTCAGTATGGACCAACATCCCGTTCGAGCAACGGCCAACCAGCAAGTGGCCAGGTGCAGTTAATGCCAGACTATGACATCAGCAAGTGGGAGCATGGATGACCAAGTCGGTGGAACAACGGCCAATCAGCAAGAGGCAGCCCATGCTCTCCATTAGTATAAATAGAAGGTTTCAAGTCATTGTAAGGGTTAGCATTTCAATACTCAAGCTCTAGAATAGCATCATTTGCTCTTATTTCTTGTATTAAGGCATAATTTCCGACTTATCGATCGGGAAATCCCTTGTAATCAGATTGGTTAATTAATACAAGTGAGCTTTCGAGTTTTAGTTAGTTCAGATCTTATATTTTCCTTTACGCTTTGATTCTGGGCCATTCCTGATATATCCAAAGTTCGTGTTGGGCTTTCGGATCTACGGGACTTACCCGCAACATTGGCGTCGTCTGTGGGAAACTTGCAAAAAGTTTCACTTTCTAAACATCCAAAAAACCTCTATTTTTTAAAATGGTCAGAATCAATTCCTATCATACGAACGACGGTTCACACCGTCACGGGAGGAGTCACACCCCGGGGAGTCAAAACCCCCAGGGACAATCCAGTCGAGGATCCTATCCTCGCATTAATGGGGATTTTGTGATCCCCGAATCTCTGAGGAGAAATCCCCAGGCCATGCGTGACATGGCCCAATTCATGCAGCACATGGCAAACGAAGAAGAAGGAGGTTCCAGCTTTACAGGAGAAACTCCACGCGCGGAAACGACCACAGCGTCATCCCGCTCACATACACATCGGGATAATCGACGTAGCGCCCCACCACCAGCGCATCCCAGTCCCAGTGACCGAACCCCGATCGGGTCGCAAGCTAGAGGACCAACTCCCGTCAGTCATCATTTCCAATATGCCGAGCGGGAAAATACTAGGGCCCCTCAGCGGCATTGGGACCGGGATTGTGCGGATACGAGGGTTCCACCACCGCCCCCTTTGACGGCCCAGGAAGAAGAGATGGCCGAGATGAGGAGGCAAATGAACGAAATGCGGGACCACATGAACAGGGTACCTGCACAACCTGCACCAGTCCAACTGGGGATTACTTCCCCGTTTACAAGGGAGCTCATGTACGCGGATATCCAAGGGGGTGCCAAGCCCTCGACCGGCCAAATATATGACGGGGTGGGAGATCCCCACGTACATCTGAGGAGTTACCAAGGCGGACTTATGCTGCTAGGAGCACCCGAGGCTGCCATTTGCCGTTTGTTTTTCAGCACGCTCAGGGGGCCTGCCCAGGAATGGTTCGGGACATTACAGCCCGGGTCAATCAATAGCTTTACCGAGTTATCAACGTTATTCTTGGCTCAATTTGCCTCCAGTGCCAATCCCAAACGGCACTTCAGCTATCTGACCAGCGTGAAGCAAAATGCCAAGGAGACCCTCAACCAATTCCTGAAAAGATGGAGGGATGAAACTTTAACAGTGGGGAGCATGACGGATGATACCGCCATCACCCTGTTCACGAATGCTCTCCGAACGGGGGAGTTGTACAAAGAGTTGAAGAAGAATCCGGGCACGGCGTACGCCGAAGTATTAGATAGGGCGCGCAAGCACGCCGCCCTAGAAGAAGAAATAATGATCAGGGATAAGGTCATTACGCCTGCTGCCCCGATCAGACTGGCTGATCGGCTGGGTCCTAGCCCAGCGGCCACTTTACCTCCCAAACAAGGGAGATTTACACCCCTGGTCCTATCAATAGCGGCCATCTATCAGAACGAGAGGGACAATATTCCCATCCCGACTGATTCTGGACAATTCATGGGAACGGATGACAATGCTTTCTGTAAATATCACAACAGAAAGGGTCATGCCACCAATGCCTGCAGGGCCCTGCAAACAGCAATTGAGGATCTGATCCGAAGGGGCCATCTGGGCAAATATGTGAACAAAGATCCGAATGCAATGGGCACGTTAAAACCGGCCAGGAAACCTAACAGCTGGCGCCGGGATGCTCAACGTGACGCCCAGCCTCAGAATGATGTGTATGTTCCTCCCAGAGAGGAGCCAGAGGGCTCGGGAGGCCCCGGAAAGAAGCCTCGAATGGAGGTCAGGGTCATATTTGGGGGCGGAGAGACCAGAGATTCGAACGCCGAACGGAAAAGGTTCGAGCGGAGTCTTTATGTGGGGTCCGTCTCCGCTCCCCCCAGAAGAAAGGAAGGACAGACCCGATCACGTTCGGGCCAGCT